TTTTTTTTGGAATACTACAAAAAGCATCATAAGCAAGATGTCGTCGCAGGTCCAAGTCAGCCAAGGAGGAGTTGGTGCCGCCCTCCAGCGGGTCGGATTTCTATCACAACGAACGCTGCGGTGTTCCCGACGGGACAAACTGGACTAGATGTAGTAATTTGTGGTAGTGATGGGGGTTTCATTCTTGCAGCAGCAAAAAGTATCCAAGGAGTCGAAAATGTGGAACTGCCGAGGCTTTAGCAGCTGGGCTAGGAATATAGACGGTCACAGTGATTGGTGCTACTAACCCTTTACTGGAAAGCTAGTAACCACTTTTTCACAAGTCGGTTACAAGGCTTTATGGCCAGAAACGGCTAGCGCCGGAAAAGCCTTAATTGTGCTTTCAAATCGTCTCCTTAATGACGAGCTAAAGTGTTTTAAAACTCTAATAAAGAGATTCTTTCGCCAACATAATGGGGCGTATTCAAAGGGCTCCCGCAAATAAATATGCTCCCAATGCCTAATTAATGCAATCATCCTACAATTTGATACTAGAATAGATTGGCCAGCAATTGAGTCAATTCGGTAATTATACATCATGGCCGGCAACGGCTTCCGCCAGAAAGCTTTTAATGGTCATCACTTTAATGAGTATCTGTGCATTTGACTATCCAAAACGTCAGTTACGGGAGGATTCTAACCGTTTCAGACTATGGTTGAAATCGGCCCTTCAAACTCGTGGAGTAAACTGCCTTAACTAATGCCCTGTCTGCTGGAGACATCGAGAAAGTATTGAACATTTATTCTTCAGATGCCCCCTAGCCATTAGATTGTGGATTTTAGTGGGATTGAGCAACTTTATTGAGACCGCCCAGACTGTTAACTTTAGTCTATGGTGGCGACATGTCATGGTCTCTGAGACCGCCCCATTCCACATTCTCCAATGCATCTGTTTACTTTGGAGAATCTGGAAGTCTAGAAATAAAGTGACCTTCGAATTTTACCAACCTCATGTCTGTTCCCTAGCCAGCCAGTTCTACAACCAGGTCCTTGAAGTCTCCTATCTTCTCCTTCCTCCTCCACCCCGCAGTTCTACTCCCAAACCATCCTGCCACCTCTTGGGTTCCTCCGCCAGAAGACTTTTTGAAGATCAACTTCGATGCTGCTGTTTGTGCCACCGGGTGTTCGTCTGGGCTTGTTTTCTGTGGGTCAGACGGGCATGTGGTGTTGGCGTTTGGTCTGCAGCTTTAAGGAATAGTCAATCCTTACCTGGCAGTGCTTCTAGCCTTTAGAGATGCTATCTCCATCGTAGCTTCAAGATACTTGACCCGCGTGATAGTCGAAGGTGATTCCGAAGTGGTCGTCAAACAAATTCGTCAAGGCGTCATAGAAGACTCGATTGGTGGTCCGGTGTTACGAGAGTGTCATCAGATCCTTAGCTCTTTGTCTGTTTGTATAGAGTTTAGGGCGGTACCTAGATCCGCCAACAGTGCTGCCCATAGAGTGGCGCGTAAAGCACTGCTTTTGTCTCGTTTAGAGGTAGAATCTTTTGATTTTTTGGGGTGGCTTCTTTAGAGTCTTTTAGGGGTCCTGGGTAGAATTGTAAGTTTAACTTTTTTCCTCTATTGATATCACTCATAAATAAAAATAAAAAAAAGCGACAATATGAAGTTGTTGATGAAGTTGCAGAATCCAGAGAGGAAATTGACGGAGACAGGAGTTGTGTGGAGGAGTATCAGAAGAGGATTGTGCTCGTTGGGTAACGGGAACGACATCACCTGCCCCGAGAGGCAAATGGAGCGGCACATATTATGGCTCATGCAGTGACTCGTATTAACGAGAGAGTTGTTTGGATGGATAGGTCACCAGTGTACTTAATCGATCAACTGAAGCTGGATGATGTAACTTTGAGTTCTAATTAATACATAATCCAGGTTCCCCATAAAAAAAACTAAATTGACTCTTTTCTCAATAACAAATTTGAAAGTCTCAATCTAATTCGGAAAAATTTGAAATAATTCATTTGGAGATAATGGCAATAATCTGAGGATATATAATTAAAATTAATTAATTAACCCTTTGTAATCCTCCAAATAATATAAAGGGATTCTCCTTAGAACCTCTTCCATTTGTTTTTTCCTAGCTCCTCCGGATTGCATGGGAGGGTTCTTTGGACATTTGATAGGCTTTAAAACCCCCTGAACTTATCAATTAAAAACGGATCGGCACTCCAATTAGAAAAGCCATCATTTTTTAATTGCTATTCATGTTTATTGAATACTATTAGCAACGGTGTTTAATTTTTCTATGCATCTATAACCTGGTTAGGTGTATAATCTCATCATTTGTTTTAATTTGGACAAAAAAAATTTAACATAAAATCAAATTAATCAGGTTACACAACATCATATACAAAATTGCACCATCAATGTTAAATTTTCATTAGATTGTCAATAAAACTGGTCTCACATTGATGACTGAATTTTGACGTAACTCTCAATTTGTCTAAAATCAACCTAGAATGACCATTGTACTCACTACTCAGTTCTTCATTTAAAATATTAAAATATAAACCACCATCGATAGAAAATGGCATTCCTAGGAGGTTTAATTGTTCTCATCATCGACCATCAAACTTTCCTAAGATGTTTGATGAATTGAGCAAAAAATCTGCATATACAAGTATTTTCCATACAAAAATTTGAAATCATATAAATTGTTGTTGTTCATATTTGAGCTATACATACCTAAAATTGAACTGCAAACTCTCCCAAAAACTATTCATGATATACAAAATTATATATGAAAACTACCACATATAGAAAACGACATTCCTTGGAGATGTAATTATTCCCATCATCGACCACTAAGCTTTCCTAAGTCATTTTGACAAACTGGACAACAAAATCTACAATTATAATTATTTTCTATTAAAGAATTTGTTGGAAGCTTAATCGCACTAATTTTTGTGTAACAAGTTTGGACATACCTAAATATGAATTAAAGAACATTCTTATGGGCTATTCATTAAGTTTTATAGGTTATCAAATTTTGTGTTGATCGTTGGGTTGCTTATCAGTGTTAAGGAAGAAAAATCCCGAGAAATGTTTATGACTTGAACAACGTAAATTCATTATATAAAAATTATGTATAAAAATCACCACATGTAGAAAATGGCATTCCTAGCAGATGTAATTATTCACATAATCGACAACTAAGTTTTCCCATGCCATTTTGACAAACTAGACAACAAAATCTGCCGATAGAGTTATTTTCCATAAAAGAATTTGGTGGAAGCTTCATCACACAAATTGTCGTGTTTCACATTTGCGCATACCTAAACCTGAATTATTACGTAACACTCTTACGGGCAATTCATTAAGTTTCCAATTTATAGATTATCAATTTTTTTATGAATGGTTATCAGATTTTGTGTTGGCTGTTAGGTTGCTCATTAGTGTTAAGGAAAGAAAAAATCTGGAAAATATTTATGACTTGAATGATGTAAATTCTATTGTGTTGGCCGTTAGGTTGCTCATTAGTGTTAAGGAAAGAAAAAAACTGAAAAATGTTTATGACTTGAATGATGAAAATTCTATTGCGTAAAAATAGCATCTCATATTTGAAATTATTTTAACATCAAAGATTGGCTTTCAATAAAATGTAGAAAATAAGGAAGACTTTACTGTGAAGATAAAGGTTTCATTGATGGAGACTAAAGCATTTTTATTGATGGATTATGATGCTTTTGACGGAGGAGTGATCACAAAGTAATTCAAAATTGATTTTGAGATCCTTGAAAGCGAGGAGAAAATAGTGCGAGTTAATTATTTTTTCTAGGAGTCGACCCTTGCATGAATTTTTTCACTTTAGTAAGGATTTTTGTCAATGAGTATAGTATTTTATATTTCTGGTGATTAAATAATTTAGGTTTTTTTATTGTATAAACTAAAATATGTCTCAACTCAAATAGTTTTATCATTTATATCATTGATAAATTCACCCGGCCAACGAGGTGGCTCTAATCTAGTATGAAGATATACAATTAAAATGAATTATTTAATCCAAACGACTCAGAATGGAGTATGGACCGCTGTACTATGGGGTCGTTTGCTTCATGGATTTAAAAATGAGGGTTTTGTAATTTAAAAACGCAATGATTTATCAAGGATTTGAGGCATCATGGATTTGTAACAATCCTTTGTTTGTTGGGATGTTTTTATCATGGATTTAAAGGTGTGGGATTTACTACTTGAAGTCAAAATTACATTACTGCCATTTTCTATATGTTTGACATGTTTATGATATGTACACAAAAAGAGGACAAAATTTCAAAATTACCTTACTATAATTTTCTATATGTTTGACATGTTTATGATATGTACACAAAACAAGGACAATACATACTAATAAGCATAATGTTGCCACATGGACAATAATAATAAACGAGAAAATTCCGTTTTAACTTTTAACGTAACATAATCAATTACCAATTCTTTGTCCTCCTTTTCAAAAGTGACATATAACAACATATATTAGAATCGGGAGAACAAAGAATTACACGTTCCATGAAAAGGTCAAAGAAAACTAGAACACAAGAAATGATATAAAAAATCTAACTCATGTTTGCACATTAATTGAACGTTTATATTATTCTTTTATTGTTAATTATAATGTATAATAGTTAAATTTGAGGGCAACCTTGGAATATTAAAAGTGCATGAGGGTATATGGGTAAAATCTCATCAAGAATTTATGTCATATTCCAAATTCCACATCAATATGTGGGATTTGTAAGTCCGTGGGGTCCACGGATTTGGACCCTTAAAATCCGTGGGCCCCACGGATTTGGTCTCCAAAAAAGATGCAAGCAAACAACGGATTGTACCTAAATCCTTGATAGTTGGTTTTTTGGTACCAAATCCATGTACCAAATCCTTGAAGCAAAGGACCCCTATGTGTCTTGTCTCTACTCCATACCAATTGGAAATAGACACGTGGTATTCATGACATCCCTCCCCCTTCACTTTCCTCGGTTGCTACCTCTATCTCTGTTTCCTTTTGTTCGGCTCGTTCGAAGAAAAATTAAGAACGTCTCTTCCTTGCTATCTCCTTCACCAATTGGCCTGTTGAACAATTCTCTTTCCAGATCTGCGATCGGGGCTCATTTCATCGTGCCTATTTCATCTGTTTCCATCAGCAGCTAGTTTCAGTCCCCCGTCATCGACAACTCCATCTCCTCCGGCAAGCATGGGGTTCCGGCGAAGAAGATAGATAACAGGCAAAAGAATCTTTGCCGAAGAACCAAGCCCAACGTTGCTTTCAACCCTAATCGAGGAGACTTCTTCATTCTACAGTAGATTTTCGTAAACTCTCAGCAAATTTCTGGAAGGGGTGAAAAATTAGGTAATCTCCCCCTCCCCCCCCTTTAACTCGTTCTTGAACTGAGGGTTCGCATCCATCAAATTCCTGCAGTGCATCAATGCGTTTTCTGCTTGTTTGGTCGAATTGGTGTTCTTTACATACCCTCAGGTTGAAGAAGAGATGATGCAGTTGCGGACATATGCAAGCCTCAGTCTGGTTGCTGCTCTGGCGGTTATATATCATGCATTCAGCACAAGAGGCCAGTTTTATCCAGCTATGGTGTATTTGTCCACCTCCAAGATCAGTTTGGTGCTTCTTCTGAACATGGGGCTAGTACTGATGTGTATTTTGTGGCAACTAACCAAGAAGGTCTTCCTTGGTACGCTCCGGGAAGCTGAAGTCGAGAGGTTGAACGAGCAGTCATGGAGGGAGGTTATGGAAATCCTCTTCGCAATCACTATCTTCAGGCAGGATTTTTCAGTGGGTTTCCTCGCTATGGTTACAGCCTTGCTATTAGTCAAGGCTTTGCATTGGTTGGCTCAAAAGAGGGTTGAATACATTGAAACAACACCATCTGTGCCGATGAGGTCTCAAGTCCGGATAGTATCATTTCTTGGGTTTCTTCTGCTTGTAGACAGTTTGTTTCTGTACAGCTCTATAAAGTATTTGATAGACACTCGACAAGCCTCAGTTTCGCTGTTCTTTGCGTTCGAGTAAGTCAACCCTTATCCATTCAAGTTCGGTGAATTCATGTTCAGATTTATTGGTTGTGTTACTTTTTTTTTTTTTTGGTGTGAAAGAAAATAGTTTATAGGCTGGCTATCCCCTTCTTTTTTATCAAGCATTCTCTACTCATTGATGCAGTAATTGTTATACGTTGTAGGTATATGATACTGGCAACCACGACAGTGTCAACATTCGTAAAATACGTCTTCTATGTGAGTGACATGCTTATGGAAGGACAATGGGAAAGAAAGGCTGTGTACACCTTCTACTTGGAACTTATCCGGGACTTACTTCACCTATCGATGTACCTATGCTTCTTTCTTGTGATCTTCATGTAAGTACTCGAACCTACATCTTCAGTGTGATCACCTCATGCTAATTCATTTATGATATGTCCTTATCTTGATACTGCAATGCTCCTGCCATGGTTTTTTGGGCCCTGTGAGCTTTCGTCAGGGTTGTGTTTGCTAGTCTAAGGACAACTAAATAGACTGAAACAGAAGTAAGTGATGGTGATTATGGGATATAGCATAGGTGTCATTTGAAGCCATAATAATTCTCACAGGGTTGTTGTTTGGCATTTCCTGCCGACTTTGTGGATGTTCTCTTTATCTTTACAATGCATGCTTTCTCTCAAGTGATTTGGAAGAACCTTTTGCCTATTCAAGCTAGACAAAGAGAAAGTGTATTGCAGTTGATAGTTCCCCGGTTATTTGGAAGAAGAAGAAAAATGTCTAGGTTAGGTTTGATTTGTGTGCTCACTTTGTTCTGAAACTAAAAAACAGGAGGAACATAAGAAAGGAACACTTTTCTCATTTATGTTCCATATTATTTATGGTCCTGGTTCGTTCAATATGCCTACTTTTCATATTTGTGCAGGAACTATGGTGTGCCCTTGCACCTGATTCGAGAACTTTATGAGACGTTTAGGAATTTCAAAATCCGTGTTGCCGATTACCTTCGTTACAGGAAGATAGCTTCCAATATGAATGATCGGTTTCCAGATGCAACACCTGAAGAGCTTAACGTGTAAGTTGTACTTGTTAGTGTCTCTGCTCTTACTATGTTAGCATTCATTTGCTGTAATTGGTTATTTCTTATGAATTACAGAAGTGATGCTACCTGCATTATTTGCCGTGAAGAGATGACCACAGCCAAAAAGTTAATTTGCGGACATCTTTTCCATGTCCATTGTCTCCGTTCCTGGTTGGAACGCCAGCACACCTGTCCTACTTGCAGAGCATTGGTTGTACCGCCTGAAAATGGTGCTAGTACATCTGGTGGCCAACCTGGGTTGCGGTCAAACACTAATCAAAATTGTAAGATGCGTTTATGTTATGCACCAAGCTAGTTCATCTATGCTCTTTGCTTTATGGCTTTCAGCTCTTGAATCTTGATTCTCAGTGTTATTGTGAATTCCTTCTTACTCAGATTGCGATGATAAGTCTTGTTTTCTTGTTTAGCTTTGATCACACTGCAGTGTGGATACCAATTTCATTATTTACTTATGCAGTTTGTAACTTCATGCAATATCTGCTAGCACAAAATAGCTTTTCTAAAATTGTTTGCTAGTAATATTCCAATTGGCTCGACTGTTTTGGTTTTGCTATAATGGTGGAGATTTGCTGTGAATGAATTATGGGTTTACTGTCATCTCCCGTTTCTCTTAACTGTTGTAACTTGGATGCTTGCTTCATTCTCTTTTCTGCTGTTTTAGCTGGGCACAGTATCTTATCTGTTGAAAAATGTTGAATTTGCAGCCTCAAGCAGTGCTAGTACATCTGCGCAAGGTTCAGCTGGTGATGGTGCTGATGATGATTTGAGCCGACATCAAGCAAGACTCCAAGCAGCTGCCTCTGCAGCAGCTATGTACGAGAGATCATTTGTGTATCCCTCTCCGAACACTCTAGTGTGGTATGCCTTCTATTCACAGAGAAATCCCGTGAAAAAAACTTCTCAACAGACCATTTCCCTTGTTTGATTCTGGATAAACAAACGTTTGGCTTTGTTGGCTCACATTACTGTATCATACCATACGTCATGTCGAGCAGCCGGATAGAAACATTTCGGTTTTGAAAGGCTGAGCTTTTGATCACCTGTATTCTGTCTGGTGCTGAACACATTCCTCCATCTAGTATATGGAGAAAGAATTTCTTGTTACTTCAAAACCTTTGTCGATGTAGTGAAGCAGCACACTTTTTGTGGCATTCTGTATGCAGGTCTCCTGGGTATGCTCTATTTCCTGAAGGGCAGAGACCTTCAGCCAACAACAGTTCAGCAGCTGAAGGAGAAGTGAGTGTGGGTGGACAATCCCAGCCCCCATTTCAGTTCCATGCCGGGCCTTCAAACATGCCGTCTCTGCCTCAAGTCCCCCCAGTCATGTTCGTTCCGTATCAAGGAGCTGGTGGCAGTAATCTGAATGTAAGAGGACACAGCAGCGGCTTGGGAGGGCTGTCAAGTTCTGAGATGGAAGCACAGAGAAAGTTTCTGCAAAGCCAGATAGAGGCAAATTCTTACCTCCTCTTTAATTGTTTGTTTTTGGTAAAGCCTCCTCTGCTGTCTACTCATAGGGTTGATTCATTGTCATGGGGTTTCAGGTGCTTCAGAGACAGCTCCAGCTTCTGGAGAAGCCCAAAGCAGAGGTGGAAAAGATGGTACCAACCGACCCTGCGGCATCTTCGTCGGAGAGCAAAGGCAAGGGGATCGTATCGTCTTCTTCCCCGGCGCCGGAATAGGATGACGTTTAACTATCGCATTTTTCACGACAGAGATAGAAGACTGGCCTTTTTTTTTATCTCTTACCTTCTTGTTCAGCGTGTAATATAGATACATAATATCGGAAATCAATGCATTAGCCAAGTGGAAAAGAATTTTTTCTCACGTTTCCTTTTTAACTAACATTGCATAGACAACTAGGGTTGTAAAGAGCCAAGCTTATCAGGAGCAGCTGGTGGGTCGGTTTGGGGAAAATCAATGAGTCGAGATTGAAGTATGTCATGTTCTGTATGCAAGGCTTGTGAATCAACTCGATGAGCAAGAGATTGAGGTATGCCATGTTTTGTATGCAAGGCTTGTGAATCAGCTCGATTTGATGGCTTGTTGAGTTTAATTCGCATTTTGACTCGTTTTGAGCATAAGTTGGCTTTTTGTGTGGCTTGTGAGCGAGGCAGCTCGACTAAATTGGGTTGATAATCATTTATAGATCTGTTGAATCTATATCTACATGTAATGTTTAACACTATGGGCCAACACTGATTAATAAAGATTCACAGGTTTTACCGTAAAAAAAGAAGTAATGTTTAACACTATGAGCTCGAGTCGTGTTCGCCGCAAGCTGATTGATGAGTTACGAGTTTGTGAGTTTATTAATGAGTCAATCTCAAGTCGACCTCGTGTGAAATACAGATTTCAGTAAATGAGTTGAATTTGAACTCATAATCATTTACTAACGAGCTCAGTCTCGATGAAGTTGAAATTCAACCTGACTTGATTTGTTTGTCGCCACTGGTGGGAAGGCGTGGAGAGTGGAAGTAAAGTAATGGAAGAAAAGAAAATTAAAATGAGTCAGAAATAATATATTATTATGATGTATTGCGAGATGGTGATTTGTTGGCCGGGGCCACGCCGGTCCTTCTCTAATTGACATTATATATCAACGTGGATTTTGGTTTAGTTTGTGGAACAATTATTGCTAGGGTTGCTCCCCAGCATGTTCTAGTATATTCCTCGATCGAGTTTATTCCATCTTCTTTTCCGAATTTGATCATTGTGAATTGCGAAACACTTTTAGTTGGATAATTTGTACGACAAAAAATCACTCTCCTTTTGCTATGACTATGAACAGAGAGTTTATGCCATTGGTGTTATAAAATTAACAAATTTGTGCATAAGGGCAGAAGGCTAATGAAAACTCTTTCCCAAGCCTACTTTCGTTAATATTGCCGATGAAAAGAGTTTCTGAGTGACTACAATTTTTCATGTTGGACGTTGGGAATTTGCTGACGATAATTGTTGGCTTCAACTTCTGCTTTTGATGCCGGCTTCGAATTGATTCTCTTCTAAAGAAAAACCATCTAACCGAACCCATTGGAGACCCTCTCCAACGCTCAAATTAGAGATTATGATGTTGGAGGAGAAAAATGGGGGATAAAAGAGCTCGTGACAGAAGTATATGAATTAGAAGCGAAGCTCTCACTCATCGTTGCTAGATTTTTTCGAGGCTAATTCAAGTGGGTTAACTTGCTTTTAAGTGTATTTTCGATGATCTTATTATATGGTTGTTGATTTGACTAAATTAGAAGACACGTGTCGCTACTCAAAGAGTCGGAGGTTCCATAGCGCCGAAATAAAAAGAACAACAAACAAACCACATCAAGAATCTTCTTTCAGCTCTAAAAAAAAAATTAGTCGTTTGGATGAGGAATTGTAACGGATCAATTTGACACAATTGTCTCGTTTTGAAACAATGTACCAAATTGCCTCGTTTGCCAGCAAAAAATTTGGATGGATCAATCTGCCTGAGGTATTTTGAATTGATCCGTTTTGAGTCAATTTCAATTACCTGGGGTGGGGGCAGGTAATTCGAATTGACTCGTTTTAATTGCCTCGTTTTAATTGCCTCGTTTATAAAACGAGACAATTGATCAAATTGACTCATTTCTAGATTGATCCATCCAAACGACCTAAGAATCTTCTTTCAGCAGCAGAAGCTGTCGTGTAGACAACTTAATCACAATCTAAGCACACAATTTAATTAAATTAAAATTTTTGGATGGATCAATCTAGAAATGAGTCAATTTGATCAATTGTCTCGTTTTATAAACGAGGCAATTAAAACGAGTCAATTCGAATTACCTGCCCCCACCCCAGGTAATTGAAATTGACTCAAAACGAATCAATTCAAAATAACTCAGACAGATTGATCCATCCAAATTTTTTGCTGCCAAACGAGGCAATTTGGTACAATTGTCTCAAAACGAGACAATTGTGTTAAATTGATCCGTTACAATTCCTCATCCAAACGACCCTAGAATCCAGATTTCTTTTTTCGCTAAAATATAATAATTCCTTTAAACTTGTAATAATGAAATAATTTCTTACAACTGGAAAAAGAAGCGCCGTGGCGTGCACGTGCCTTTCTTTCTCTCTCTGACTCTGTCCCGAAGAAAGTAGACGAGCGAAAACCCTACTACTGCGAAGGCAAATCAATAACAATAACTTCACAATTTTCCTGTTTTTTCTCTGCAACCAGACCGCCGGAACACAGGAAAATTTTGTTTTTCTCTCCCACGATCCCGCCATGGCTGCCGCTCTTCTCCGAATGTCCAGATCCTCATCGGCGCAACTGACAGCCGTCTCCAGAGCTTTCACCTCGCGGAATTTCTCCGCCTCCTCAACGTCGTCCTCGGCGTTCAATCCCGAGCCCGACATCGCCAGATCTCCGTCGTCGTCTTTCCTATCCCGGAATTCGCCCTTGCCGCAAGACCCCAAGGACAGGAACGTCCAGTGGGTGTTCCTCGGCTGCCCAGGCGTCGGGAAAGGGACCTACGCATCTCGCTTATCGAATCTCCTCGGCGTCCCTCACATCGCCACCGGAGATCTCGTCCGCGAGGAGCTTAATTCCACCGGTCCTCTCGCCTCTCAGGTCGCTTTCCGTTGATTTGAATTTGCTCTTTTTTCGCTATTGGGATTTGAGTTAATTGATCATCAAAAACAGGCGTTGCTTTCTTGCTTCTGATTCGAATCTAACTTTCCCCCTTTTTGTGGGAGTTCTGGTTTCCCCCCAAATTGGGTCTGATCTAATGAGAAATCAGAGTGTGTTAACAAAATTTGAAGTTGATGGGTATGGTGCAGCTCAAGGAGATTGTGAACCAAGGGAAATTGGTTTCAGATGAAATCATTATCAACTTGCTATCCAAGCGCCTTGAAGCAGGGGAAGCTAAGGGAGAATCCGGTTTCATTCTCGATGGCTTTCCTCGAACTATTAGGCAAGCGGTAAGGCACTTTTAATCTGATTTACTACTACTAATAATGATTTTTTATTTGGACTGGCATGCTCTACATCTCTTCAGTACTAACTAGAATTTCATACTCCTTTGTTAACTCTCACAAGGAGCTAAATTTTTAGTTTCTTTGAAGACCTACATAAACGCTGTTTGACATACTGTTTGAGGATGTGCTTGAGAGATTGATGTTTGCAGTTGCATGCAAGAAGAAACATATAATTCTTCATTGGAGCTTCTGAGTTTGAGTGTATTAGATATGCACATGTAATCTCAAGTGCATCGAAATTATTTGGTCTCCAAGATATGTGGGTCGGAGGTATTTGTAGTTGCAATCTAGAAAAGGGGTGTCTTTTTTCTCACTTTTCTGTCACAACCTTTACAAATGCACTTAATCAATCAGAGTTATGAAAATACACTTCAAGTAACATCCATTTTCACATACACTGATGGAACACATGCTAAGACATTTGGCCTTGGCACGAATCACCACAAGCTGATGCTTCATAATGTGATCGTATGACAGGAAATATTGGAAGGAGTCACAGAAATTGATTTGGTGGTGAACCTTCAGCTTAGGGAAGAAGCTCTCCTTGCAAAATGTCTTGGTCGTAGAATCTGCAGCCAGTGTGGAGGAAACTACAACATTGCTTGCATTGACATCAAGGGGGATAATGGTGAACCTGGTATCTATATGGCTCCTCTTCCGGCACCGCCACAATGCGCAGACAAACTGATCCAACGTGCCGATGATACTGAAGAAGTTGTGAAGGCTCGGTTACAAATTTATAACGAGATGGTATTTCCCCTTCTCTATCTTGTTAAGTACTCTCGTTTTTGTTTGTTTGATGTTGTTATAATTCTTCCACTAATGGCTGATTAATGTTGTGATATGCTCATAGTTGCGCCTGGTCCTATTTCCTTTCATTTTCCCATTGTCTGTTGTAGCACGGGAACTAGACTAGTTGTCTGTTTTGCTTCACTTTCAATACCATTTAAGATTGGTCATGTTGAACGAGGACCCATTAGTTTTGATTTCCACTTGCTCCATCTTTAATGTTGAATCTCCCATGTCAAAATGTATAATGTGGATTAAAATTGGGCAGGTTATCCAATAGTTGCAAAGCCCTTATTAATGTCTGTTGTCTTTGCATTACAATGTATTGTTAATATGTCATGTGTTCCCACTAATAGCCAACTGTTCTTGTCTCGATCCAGAGTCGACCCTTGGAGGAATTTTACCGAAGTCGAGGCAAGTTGTTGGAGTTCAGTCTTCCAGGGGGGATTCCGGAATCATGGCCGAAGCTGCTTGAAGCTCTGAACCTCGAGGACCATGAAGTTAAGCGCTCTGCAGCAGCATGAGCTCTTGTTCTCCTATATTTATATGTAGCATATCCCACCAGTTTAAGTTAGGTCATTCTTTGCACGAAGGAGCGCCGTGCATACAAAAAATTGAAGATATAGAACAGTAAATGTGAAATAATCCAGGCCAAGCGAGACCATATGTAAGGTTTTTATCACTTGTTGTGGGGGAGTAAAGAGACTCTTCTTTGCCTGATGCATGGTCTCACTAGCCAAGCTCGATAAGTATTTCGTTTGTATTTCAGACAAAGGTGTCTTATCCTTTCAATTTTGGGTGTATTTGTTTGGTTATAAAACTTCATATTAGGGATTTAAAGAAATCCCAGAGGGGTTAATGAGGCAATGCCAAGTTAGGATTGTATTGTACCAACTACTTCAATTCTTCAAATAACATCGACAGACGACAGCAGCGAGCTCTTGCTCTGCTAGGTTTTTTTTCCTATTTGCAGGCTTTCCAATGTGGTCTTGTTAGTATATCTTAATTGAATTCTGCTTCACTTGTAATCGATCTCCAACATGATTAAGCAAGAAGCTGAAGAGAGTTCAACTGGAGAGGAAGTTGACGAATGCCAATCTCGTTACAAATTTGAACAGAAAAAGAACGGTAGGCATGAAGGGAAAAGATTTAGAACCCTAACGATCTGATGCAGGTGAATCCAATCATCCCTGCTCTCTGATGGGGTTCTTCCCCCATGAGAATAAGCTCATCTACTCCTGTAAGCTAAAAGAATTGTCCCACGTTGAGAAGTTTCTAGCTCCTAGACACAAATGACCTATAGGCTCTTTCAAGTTCGAGCTCCAGGATAGAAGTACTCGACACTGTTTTCCTTGATCCGGAACTGGAAATTGCTCATTCTGTTATTCAAGCTTCCTCTCCTGTTGCACTGATCTCTGTTCAACACGGTCATCTGCAGTCCATCGAAACAAGCTAGGATTTTCAGACTTGGAACGGCTTGTTATGAAATCCAGACTGGAAATGTGTTGCTGAAAGATTTGCAGCAAGTGAAAAACTGCATAAAGAAGTTTACCTGTCCATGGACATCAGCAGCCAAACCAGTGGCTAAAGGTTTCACCTTTACCAAAACATCTGCAGCATACTCCATCTGTTTTAGAAACACCGGCCTGTCCATGCTCGAGTAGAAGTCGTCGTGATTAAGCATGACCAACGAACATCCCTGCATCACAAGCAGGCAGATGCTCCACAATTAAACCAAAGAACAACAACCCTCACGTATCGAATCGAAGCATCGTCGTAACACAAATTACAACGTATGTGCTTACATGGTGGTTTGATGTTAGAGCATGGCAATAGTGCAGGAAGTCCAGAACATGATCCGAAGATCCATGTGCAGCCACCTCTATCAGAGAAACATCATCTATCACGATCGTGAGACACTTCCTGTTGCCTTCAGGCAAGGAATTCAAGACTTTAGTGATGTTTGCAAACAAGGCAAACAACCCACTTCTACCACCACCAGCTTTTCCTTCTTCTCCAAATATTCAACAATGGCACCAAATCATCAACATTCACCACAACCAAAGCAACATTCAATTGCCGTAAAAGCTGAGAAATTCAAATTTCAAAGACTATTTCTTTGTCTCACCTGGGCACTGAACATTAAGCATGTCAACGAAAATGAACCTACCCTTCTCTCTCTGGGCAGCTAGATTGCAGCCCTAACAACGAAAAAAAACTTCAAGAATTCAAACCAGGAAGCCAAAATTCTGAACTTTTCGGAAGCCAAAACAGTCATAAACAGAGAGATAGAAAGAGGGTACGAGTTTTCGGAGAATGCGGTCGTAGTGGGAGAAAGGGTTGGCGAAGGCGAGGAAGAGGACGACATTGGAGGAGTTGGAAGTTGCAGTAAGCAGGCGTTTGATAAGCTGGTGAAGAACGAAGGAGCCGCTCGTCTCTACGCAGTCCTCGATCAGAACTGCTTTCCCGCCAAGAGGCGACTTCGATTGGGTCAGCTGGTCCAGCCCTAGGGCTTCATCTAGCAAATTCCGAGCTCGACTGTCCATTTCTGCGCGCTAAAAAGCTTCAATTGATTTCGAAAGTTGGTTGATGGAGTCACTAAACTACTAGGGTTGTAAATTACCTTAGTAGGGGTAAATGAATGTAAAGAAAAATCAAAATGCTATAAAATTAGCTAAAAAAAGATAAATCTATCTGTATAATTGTATTGTACGATTCAAATTGTCATGTTATGGTTTGATGTCTGAATTCTTGGAGAGGATCCTTTGAGGTGATATTGGAGAAGTGCGGTTAAATTGGCCCGGTCCGGTTAAATTGGCTCTAATTGATCCAGTCCCAGTCCGGTCTTTTCGGGAATATAAGGACCAAAAATTGGATTGGATACAGTTCGGTCTTGATCTGGTCCGGTCTTTGACTAGATCCCAATTCGGTCTTTATTTTAGATTGAACTTGTGGGGATTTTAGTGGTCTGGGGACACAAAGAGTGAGGAGTTGGTCAAGTTTTGGGTGTGGGGCTATCTTATCCGGTCTTTATCCGGTTTTTGATTCGGTCCCAAACTGGTTTCTTACCTCAAATCAAAGCCCGAATATTGGATTGTTTGTTATCCGGTTCCGGTCCGGTCCCAGTCCGGATTATACGGTCCGATTTCGGATAAAACCAAATAGCCCGGACCAAATAGCCAGCCCTAGTTGCGAGATCTTTAGCCAACACATCACTTCCTAATAATCGAATTATTGTTTTTTTATTTCATTTTATGATATCCTTTTGTGTAATTATTATTTCTAAACCCGAATTACTCGATGGAATGAAAGTGATTATTATTTCATTTTATGACAACTAACCCTTGGTTAGGAGTCATAGATACACCATGTCCATGTGGGCTCAAAGCTCCAAATTAGTGAAGGGGATGCATCTAGCTTAGTTTGATTATTTTACAATAGTTTATAGGACTAATATCACTAGAAGGCCTGTACTTTTTGAAAATTGTCACTTCTATCATATAGTATTAAACACGACAATCTTAAAACGAGATGTGAGTTACATGAAAATTTGTACCCTAAACATTTATGTTGATCGTTAGAGATTACAGTTCACCAATTGGAGATCAATATTCATTGTTAAGTATCTTGACTCCTCTAGAAAAACTTCGAACCATTTTCTTCCCTTTTTATCGAAGAACGTATTAGAGTGATTAATCAATTTATTCTAGATGAGTTATTAAATCAATTTTTCATTTACTATGTACATGACATGCGCTATGAAATACCTAGGGATGGCAAAAATATCCGTAACTGTGGATATAAGCCCGAATCCGACCTAATCGGGTAGGGTAAACCCCGAACCCAAATGACTTTTAGTGGGTACGGGTAATTCTCTTTTGACCAATTCAACTTTTTTTATTTTATTTCATTATGTTTTAAATAAAATAAAATATTATTTTTTGTCATAGTATAATATTATTTTTGGTAACTTAGAAGTTTATCAAAACTTCATTGTCACACCTTCCAAATAATATAGTATCAAATATAATAAGTAATTGGTTTCGGAATTTAATAACTAATTCATAAGAAAATAACTAACCATTAAAATATAATGGTGACCAAAGATTTAAATATTTTAACACTTTTTTTATTCGTTTTTTATTTTCTTTCCCTCGTCTTCTCTCACCGTGTCTTGTCTTCCCATTTCTGATTTCTGATTTCTCTCTTCCTCTCTGCCCCAAGTGGGCTGTTTGGTCTTGCCTTTGCCTTTCTCTCTCCTTCTCTTTTTCCTTTGCCTTTCTCTCTCCGTCTGTCCGTCTCCCTCTCCCCTTTCTTCTCCTTTTCTTTCTGAAGAGTGATACTCCCCCCTCCTCTGAAATAAGAGAGAGGAACAGGTTATGGGCTGGTTTATCTGTGGTGGAAAGGCAAACAAAAATGCCAAGAAACTCCACAGGAAACAGCCTGATGATTTCAATGAATCCAAGCAGCAGCAGCAGAAGAAGTTTGATGATCAGATCCCGTCTTCTTCAGGTAATTTCACTTGAATACCATCGAGCTTGGAAATTCGTTATTGTTTTCCTTTTTTCCAGATTGCTGAAACTCTGCTATGTTTTGAATGTCCTTCCATTTCACGAATTCGTTGTTATTGTTTTGTTTTCTTCTATGGGTTTGTCGCCAGCTGATTTCTTGATGACACTTGTGAATCATCGAAATTATTTGACAAAGCCCCGTCCTTTCCTCAATTTTAGGCTTCAATCTGTTCTGGGTTCTTATTAATCCTCAGCTTTAGGCAATAATATCTTCAGGGTTCATAGTAATTTGTTGATTTGGAGTGGGGTTATTAAGGAGGTTTGATTTCAGGGGGGAAATATGCTGCTCTTTGATGCATGTTCTCGCTGCGTGGTATTAGTCTTTGAGCTATTGTTGGTCTCTTTGGAAGTTTTGTTTTTATGATGACGATTTCTGGGGAACATCTGGTATTTGTTGGTTTTTTGGTCTGCTATGGAATCATGGCGATTTTTTGGGTAGATAAACCAGTTCTGAGTCTGTTTTTCTATTTCATTTTCCCCCAGGTGTGGGATTCTTTAACATGGTTACAGTTTTTGCAAGTTGGTAACTAGGCTGTTGCTTGTTACTATTCATGACATATGGATCACTGGTTTATCAAATGTTGTTATGATTGAAGGATAGGGTAATTGCAAAGTCTGCATCCAAAGGTCCTTTCTTTTCCTACATGTCTATGAGAAACTACAATAATTCCGTCCACAGTGAGTAGTTGAAGGTGCTTACAAAGATGCTTTGTGGTACACCAACGAGGGTGATCTGTATATTTCTTGTCTTTTCCTTGTGAATATAATCCAAGCATTGCTCCTTCTGGAATGCTAAGTTTTGTCTGTTTTGATCCTTTGCTTTCTTTTGCCAGTCTTACTGATAATGAATGCATGTTCAATTATTCAATCTACCTTTAGGGTTTTGATGATGCAATTGGTTTGACTATTCATTATTCTTGTGTAGATAAAATAAAGCAAAATATCACCCAACAGTTGAAGGAAATTCCCAAGCCGAAAGAGGGAGGATCAGATCACATTGCTGCACATACATTTACATTCCGTGAGTTGGCTGCCGCGACTAAGAATTTTAGGGCAGATTATCTTCTGGGTGAAGGAGGTTTTGGCCGGGTATATAAAGGGAGATTAGACAGCACGAATCAGGTTAGCTGAGATCTGTCATCTTTTCATTTTCAAAACTGATTGTTGAATTTTGCTTGTAGCTCTAGCTTATTATTTTCTCAGGAATAGTTAGCATTTGATGTTTGTAGTTAAGACCCAAACGGATTGTTCTTCTCTTTTGGTGTAGGTTGTCGCTATCAAGCAACTTGATCGAAATGGCCTACAAGGAAACAGAGAATTTTTGGTTGAAGTATTGATGTTGAGCCTACTTCACCATACTAACCTAGTGAACTTGATTGGCTACTGTGCTGATGGAGACCAGAGACTCTTGGTATACGAGTACATGCCATTAGGATCTTTGGAAGACCATTTACACGGTAAGGAGTGAATCTTATTTCTGGATATACTAAGTGAAAAGGGTTAGGACAGGCTTAGCTATAGCTGGTAATTTATCCAAATGCCAGGCCAGAGGTGAACCACATATCTGATGTAGCATTTAGATGCCATCTCTTTCCATATATTTATGGATTTCCCATCTGGGTTCTAATAATGCCGTCATCTCTGTCGAATGTTGCTTAATGTGGTATTGACGTATTGTTGAAAGTGTGTTCTGTATTTGATGATTTTTGGTCTTTCTGAAATGCTGATAAACTTTCAGACCTGCCACCTGATAAAAGGGCACTCGATTGGAACACAAGAATGAAAATTGCTGCTGGTGCTGCTAAGGGTTTGGAGTATCTGCACGACAAAGCTAACCCTCCGGTTATATATCGGGATCTAAAGTGCTCAAACATACTGCTTGATGAAAATTTTCACCCAAAGCTGTCTGATTTTGGTTTGGCGAAATTGGGCCCTGTCGGAGACAAGACACATGTTTCTACTAGAGTGATGGGCACTTATGGATACTGTGCACCAGAGTATGCAATGACAGGTCAACTTACATTAAAATCAGATGTGTATAGCTTCGGCGTTGTTCTTCTCGAGGTTATCACTGGAAGGAAAGCCATTGACAACTCGAGGGCTGCCGGGGAGCATAACCTGGTTGCATGGGTGAGATTTCTGTTGCCTTCCTTTTTGTACTCTCTATTCTTTTCTGGCCATTTAGATGCCACTTGAAATCCTTTGGCTTAGTGCATTTTGGATGCTTATTTCGTAGAAGAATGTTTCTTGTCCTATGTTTTGGGACTACAACCAAGACAAAGAACTTCTCACTCATCCACAAGAAAAGAATCTGTGGATTATTCAGAATCCCCTTTTTTTTATAACAATCTTGGATTTAAAATCCACATATTCTTCAGAATCAGATATTCTGAAACCCGTCTTTAAGACGTCCTTGGCATGGAGGGCCATTAGTGTGTTTATGCTGAAAAGTATAATGATACTGAAGTTTTTTGGTCTTATAATCTCTGGCAGGCTCGACCATTGTTCAAGGACCGAAGGAAGTTTGCACAGATGGCTGATCCGCTACTGCAAGGGCATTACCCGATGAGGGGATTGTATCAAGCTCTAGCTGTTGCCGCAATGTGTGTTCAAGAACAGCCGAACATGAGACCTCTCATTGCTGATGTTGTTACTGCCCTGACTTACCTTGCGTCCCAGAAGTATGATCCGGAGAGCCAGCCAGCCCGTGCAGTTGCAGGAGGGGGACAATCTACTCCTAGAGCTAGAAGAGAGTAATAGTGAAAAGCTGTTTCTGTTTGGTAGGAAACGAAAGAGGAATTGGTGATGGTTTCTTTCAGACCATCTGGATCCTCAAACCCTCTCCTATAAGGTTGCTGTGACCATGCAGTCATCTCGAAACAAGGAGTAGAAGACATGGATGAAAGAAGGAGAAGAAGTTGCTTGAGAAGAGCACAGAGAATTCATGTTTGTGAAAATGCGATTGCGGGACTTGGTTTTAGGAGCTCTGCATTCAAGAATTTTGGAGTATACTCAGAAAAACAAAGGTGAGTTGCAATGAGCAAGATGAATGGGAGATCAAATTGGATCTCTTTTTACTTTTTACCTTTTTTTTCCTCCTTCCTCTCTTTCGGTTTCCTATATATAATCTCTGTTATTTATTTTATTTTATTTTTTTGGTGAAAGAATATTCATGAATGTGCAAGTACAATTCCTAGCTCTTGGGGCTATCTGTATCTATAGTTCAGATTTCTTGTTTATACACAGACTTACCCCTACTGTGGCAACATGAAAGACTTTATCTTCTCATCTTATCATGTTCATTTGTGCCTTCATCTTCTACAAGTCCCAAGTTGGTTATCGTTTCGTATTAATGGTAATCACGCCCTAATTAAGTCCCCGTCTTATCCCCGTAACAAGTCGAGAACTTTCAAGGATGATGCAGGTGAGCAAGTACTTTCTGTGCTGAGCAGACAAGTTTGAGCAAGCAAAAGCTATGAACAAAATGGAAGGAAATTTTTGTAGTGAGAAATTGACTGCACTATAAGAAGATTCCTTGCACATTCTATTGCAACTAATATAACCAACACATTATTAGTTTACTAAAAGAAATCAAAAAATGCGATTGATATACTGTGCTCTACAATAATTAGGCCAAAACTTACACCCGAGGAAACAGAAAGGTTGAAAGGAGAGGGAAAGAACTATAGCAGGCAAGGCCAACGTAGGGCACTCCCCCTCGAATTTACCATTGTCGTCGTCGGTTCACACAAAGAGAATATCTACCAGTTGTCCGACTAACTGAGAAGGAGAGAAACCTATGAATGTTCCCCAAACTTAGTAACTAGTATAAGTAACAATCTCAATCTCTCTGCTCTTTGTCTTGTACCGCCGGGGAGCCATTTTGATCGTTGGTTAACGCCTGCTCCTCGTTGGAAGACGATGGCTTCCCATCTCCGGTCTCTTCACCATTAGTAGCACTTGTAGATTTCCCCTGTTGAAACTTGAAACGCCACATCAGTTTGATTTTAAAACAGAGGGAAGGGAGCATGCATTAATTGAATAAACACTAAAAGAAATTCCATTAGTATAACCGAAACAAGCATCGATGCCAAATGAAATGCTCTTTATTTATCAAGCAATTGCTTTCAAACTTTGCCTACCAAACACCAGTCCTTGTAGCAAAAGTTCATATTCTGGCAGATTAACCAAAACACCTTTTGGAGCAATCATCTTAAAGTTAGTTAACCTACTCTGATAAAGCTACTTGCTATACTAAAACAGGGCCTACTAAATTCAGCAGTATTGTAGGCCCTTAATTCATCATATGGTTCGCCCTATTTTGGGGTCTTGGAGGGCAGCCTTGCCCCAAAAAAGAACTACTTAGTGGGGGCTATAATATATACGACATTGAACCTTTTTGCCGTTCAGGGACGTGCTGTTAGGAAGATTAGACGTGAGAAATGTGCCTTTGAGTAAGGCTCTGGTACTGATAGATTTTAATCTTCTCCAACATTTAGAAGCATTTTATGAACAAGAGACGGAGAACTGACCTTGCTTTTGTCACGCCAGCCAAGTCCAAATAATCCGGACTTTCTTGTAGGCGTTTCCTGTGCCGGGTCTTGATTGCTGTCGCTACGTAGCAATTTCTCTGGATTTTGACCTCTACAGAAGATAAAATTAATCATGCTGAGCATCACAACGACGTAAAGTATGATGTAAAACACATTAAGCAACAGTAACATTCATCTGCTTGTAAAGCAAAACGACAGACCTGGGAGACGGTACTGTTTTCAGCTGGCCAGACTGGTATTGCAAGGTAGCTTCTAACATTGATTCTGCCATGACTACTCGTTTCTCCATTTCCGCGAGTGATGCCATCGCCTCTTCATACTTCTCCTGCACAAAGATACAGCATAGCAATTGTATTAACACTGGAAGAGACTAAGCACAAATTATCAGTGACACAAAAAGTTGTGTAATGCAGGCATTCATTTAAATCATGCCCAGCTCTGCATCTGCCAATCCGTGTAATTGATTACTCGAACTAACACATGACAGAAGGAAATTCTATAGGGCAAGTGTGCATCGTCATCATCTCAGCATCTAAATTAATATAATCCAAGCAACTTTGACTTTAGCAAAATCATCACCCTTCAAGATCAAAATCTCAGCAAGAAATGAAGACACATTTGAACCCATTTCCTAGAGTACATTTTCAACTACTTTGTTTCACCAAGTATTTGAGATTGCATGTGCAGTTCCAAATCCACTGAAATACAACCAAAGTGTCAACGGAACACATTTTCAATTAGATCATATTGCAAATTCCACTTATTACATACAGCTATAACCAAACGACCTGAAAGATAACAAGAATTACCTGAAGCACTTGGCAAGCATATCTTTGAGCTGATGCATCCTGCTCAGCATATCTACGAGCATCTTCAGTTACTTTTTGCTCTTGCTCCACTCGCATTAACACCTCAAAGAGCAAAAGGCACACTTTCAGACCACAAACAAAACCATGGGAACAGGTAAGGAAGACTTATATAAATGGGTAACTACAGGAGACCAAACCTGAATCATGGCATTTTCTTGCTCCTCCTTCTCGGCCAGAGCCTTCCGCAGCTCTGAAACCTCCTGTTCCAACTGCTCAGCCTATATCCCATAAACAGATTAAATTGTTCAATTGCATGTTACTGACACTGAAAGGGAACAACAGATCACCAACCATATGCAGATTATTGAAACCAGCTTAACATGTCTGTGATGGACCAGTGATAAAGCAAGCAATATACTTTATGCTGCACTATCATATATTCTCTTCAGTTCATGGATTTAAGTGCCAAATAGAAAAAAATAAGAACAATCTAACAGTGTGTCAGGTTGTAATGATATACAAGGCAAATCACAATAAAGAAAGTAATTTTTACCCTTGCACTCAGTTGCCTTCGATTATCTTGTTTGACCATCTCCATTAAAGCCGTCTCCAATTCCTCAGCTCTAACAAAGAAACAATATATAATCAAGACACTTACATGCACACATATTGCAAAAGAAACTTAAATCACACAACAATTGCCAAAATGAAAAAGTTACTGCAGAGTGACATGATGAGATAAATGCCATTTCAATGGATTTGGAATTAGTAAGCTAAAAATTGAGAGATAGCCCTGAAGTGGCTAGAGAAAACAGAAGGCGTCCCATTCACTGATCAAGGCATGTTTTAATAACCCAACATGAACTAGGTTTCACAGAATATTCAAACTGCTTCAAAAATGAGGGGAGAATATGACAACACTATGGACTTAAGTTGCACTTCTCGAAGAACCAAAGGTGGCCTTCTATGGCAGAGCATTACACCAACAGGGTCATGTATACAGTATGCAATCCTTTCTAATTTCCCCTGAAGCTCTAAAGCATGCCCGTATGATAAAGAATCACACATATCTGAGTTCATTGCAGACAACCCAAATACACATCTAAAGTCATCATTATGGTGCAAGGAAAGCGGAATTCGTAAAGTTGATAGTCCAGACCCAACTTCCAGTGCAATTAGTCAGTGCTTAGTGTCTTAAGTGATGCAAACATACACCTCCACCTACCCTATGTTCATTCATACGAACTCAGCTAATACAGAAAATTACTGACCTCAATAGAGCAGATCTTTTCTCCTCTAATAACTTGCACAATTCAACCTTCAACCACACCACCTGCATGTATAATCTTGTTTTAAGAACAATATGAAGGAAGGATAAAGTCTCAGAAAATGGTGAAACAAATGATTTGTTGAATAACTGCCATCCATGATCTCTGTCTGTGGGTTCAAAACACAAGCAACAGTGTCCATAGGCATTTTTTATGGACTTTAATCAGTTTGTCAGCATCAGTGAATTTATTTATTGAATACCAGCACCAATGATTTGTTATGCCAGAGTAAGCTTGAACTTCCTACCGCGAAGATGTTTTAGGTCAACATAATTACAGAGCACATAAATGTATATAAGCTACCTGATCTTGAAGATCTGGAGTACTATCTATCTCCCCATTCTCTGTCAGAGTGACAAGAACATCATCTGAATTAATAGATCCAGACTCAGAACGAGATAATTCACCATTGGGTTGCCTTCTTCCTTCTGCCAACATCGACTTAGTATCATGTTTGAAATTATACAGCTTCGAAGCCAACCCCTTGGTATCGCTCCAAGCTTGAAGTCCCTTTGTTCTCTCTTCAAGTGCGGCCATTACAGCTGGTCGATGCTTATTTCCCAATTCCCGCAATCGTGTTTCATTTACATTTTGGAAACCCATGCTAGCTGTAAGTACAAGTTGACTGCTATCAAATGTTGAACCCGCCAGTGACTGCAACAAAGTAACTGCATCTCCAGCATCCTTAGTCGTAACTAATGCAGGGCCTACATAAAGAGTTGATAACTGAAAAAGTAGCATTCTGTTGCATAATAATCTGTTGCATAATAATGAAAAAATAGCATTCTTTACCCAGTACCATATAAGTCCATCAACGCAAGCGCTGTCCTAAAGAGCATGACACGGTTTCCTTCAAAAAGAAGGACGTCCCAGACTCGAAGAACTGCATTTATAAGCTACCAGTCAGAGAGAATTGAATTTAACAATTGATCCTGCGGACCAGATGTAACATTAGCCAAACTATGATCTAAAGACCAAAAACAACTGACCACTTTCCCACGGAAGCATATTCATAAAGATGGAAAGGAACCATGGTCCTGTAACCCATGCAACCTGCACTCCCAGATAATCCAGATGATTGACTGCAAAGAAAGATTAAGAAAAGAAAACTACAAAGAATAAGAAAATGAAACCTTGAAACCCAAAACAGGGAAAAAAGTAACACTAGACTTAACCTAGTTTAGGGAATCTTTCGCGCACAAGCTCCTCAAAAATTAGTTGGTCGACCTGGAAAAAAAGGGTGTTGTCAGCATATCCCAATCTATACGTTCAGCACTTTTAACCCCTTGTTCAAATATAACATGAAACATAAAACCACTGTAAGATAAATAACTGGAAACAGAAAGAACCATCTATGTCCTAAGAGCTGGGATTACCTGAGACTCTGTCATTTCTTCAGAGTAATAGCCATCAAAATAATCATCAAGAAGACCCATCAATGTCCTAAGAGTTAAACAAGGAGCAAATGTGGCTGATAAGTTACCTTTTAAGTTAAGTAGACAAGGAGAGGCCCATATTTAAGAATAAGCAAAAGAATAAAACAAGGAGTGTGAATACTCACCAGAAGGCATTTTCTTCCGGCATCAGGAGTAGTAAAAGAGCAGCAAAGAAATTCATGGCCTGCATTTTAGTCAAAGAAAGAGCGGGAGCATATCAGAATTGACCATGGGACGAGAAGAAATAACTTCCCTGTTTTCCTGTTAAGCACACTCATGGTCAAGTACCTGACAATATCCTACTGAAGGATTGTGTCTTGCATAGGCTGTAAGTAACCGCCTCAAAGCATTTCTTCCATCATTATCCAATGCTGGATGACCAGGAAAAGTTCGGGGCAAATCCTGCATTTAGATCACAAACAAGATCATGAGGTGATATATATAAAACATCTCAGGTTGGGTGGAGAACATATAACTGAAGCATAATGCAAATGTTGACCTTCTCAATCTGCCCTTTCCATTTTTCCGTTCCAGATGCAGAGTCTCTTGGTGAACTTTTAGGATCACTTTCTGATTGTACGTCTACGTGATTTTCTGATTTCGTTTCCAAGGCGAGGAGATCTTGGTAGTATTTATCTGTTCGCCGAGCCTTGACACCAACAAATGCTTGCCATAGCTAAAACCCAAATCACATATTATTTGGACCTCTTACAGCAGAAATAAAAGGCAGTGAAAGGGAAATGTAATAAGCATAACATATACCTCTCCTCTAAGAGCCATTGGCACCCCTCCACGAACAAGGACCTCCAGCTCTTCTTTCCAAGAAGACAAATCTCCCTGATAGGCTGCATCAGCAACAGTAGCACCTGTTCCAGATGCCGCAACATTCTCAACCGGAGGAACGTCAGGAACTGGATCTGACCGCTCCACATCATAAAACTCATCCTCAGAATCTTCCTCTGTCACTCCTTTTGGTGATTTAGCATCTTCAAAAGTAGACACTGGCTTTTCTTTCATGTCATCTTGCTGTTCCCTCACTTGATCAGGCTTCTTCTTCACACGCAAACACATCACATCTTCAATGACTCGAAGGGACGGTCTCGTCTCTGCCCAAATTTGGATCCTATGTATTCTTCTATTAGCTTTGGACTTTTTGTCCTCATTTTCAGTAAGATCCTCACATGAAACGTCAGAGTTACGCTTCTCATCATTCAGGCTGTCTCCTTCAGTTTCTTTCAGTAAACTATCATCAACCTCCTCCTCTGTTGCTTCAGTAATCAAGTTCCCAGCAGCTTCTTCTGAAGTAGAACCATTTACAGGCAGTTGAACAGGCTCCGCCAACCGGTCCAAGAAACTTTTCCATCTATCTGACCTTTCTTCCTCTTCCTCCTAAAATAGCAAATGTATGATGGTAAAGAACAACAACTTCCTTTCCTTAAAATAAATTCATCAAAGCTCCAAGCAGGGTTTTTTCTCCAAAGGTAAAGTTGAAACCCCAAGGCTCAAACCCAAGGATAGTTAGATGTTTCACTCCCCATTACAACTAGAGATCCCCCTTGGAGTTAACATTAACAATGAAACAATAATGCTTCAGCTAAGAGCTCCGCACAGTTAAGAAGATAAGATTAACGTTGACAAGGATTACTTTCTAAAGCAACAAGGACATGAAGAAGTGAATCAACTAACAATAATTCGACTATCAAGAACAATAATTCAAACACTTAAGGCTAAAAGAAACGACTCACGACCAAAGAAATAATGCAACCACTCCAGACCTAATTTTCCTCTTTTTATGACAATTTCTGATAGGATCGTATGTACTAAAGAATGCCTAAACCCTTCTTGTAAAGTATGACTAAATCCTGAGCTAAAAGAAATCATTTCCTTGGCTCTTCAATAACTTCTGCAACCAAGACCAGGGACACTTCAAAGCACCCCGCAGAAGAATAGGAAGATAGAAAGAAGATAAAACCTTATAGATATTAGCATATTCTCTGTATCTCTGAATATGTTGAGGTCTGACTGCAAATCCATACGCATCCCTGTCCATGACACCAACATCTTCGCATCAAAACATAACCTCACTACTATTCAACCAAATTCATAACAACAGAACAGAGTAAGCCATCAATAATCAGAAACACACACGTCGTACCAAGTAGACACCACAGTATGAGGTATATTCTCGAACCAATGTACCAATCAACAAAGTAGACTTCTCTCAAATATACCAGAAATCACCCGCCATAGATCGACGAAAGCAACCCAGAAAATGACGAACTACTGCCACCAAAACCGCAAAGTCATTGTTCCACTTTGTTCACATTATCTCAACCCAGATGTAAAGCCGATGCAAAATCCAAATTCCACGCAACACCCAAAATCCCAAAAACCATAGCACATTGGACTGACCCCGATCGCAATTCAAATCCACAAAAAAAAAAATTCGAAGACAGAGCTCTAATCAACTCGGAGAAGAAGAACCCAAAACGTTAAGAATGTCTAAAAATCAGCAGCAATCGACGTAGCCAAAGCACGCTGCGATCGAACTGCTCTGAGGCTAAAGTCAAAACTACACTGCCACGACCGGGACGCACCGATAATTCGCCGGATCGAACCCAACAAGCAGAATCAGTGAAGTAGGTGATGAGAACACTAGTTGCCTTACTGACAGTACGTACCTCTTGAGGTCGAAAGCGACGAGAGGGTTTAACGCCTTGGCTTCAGCCTTCATACTCGGCGGATCGGGTCAATTCGCTTGCCGGGCCGTCGGCTTCTTCCCCCCTCGGCGACGAAAGCAGAACCAGAAGACGGAGAAAGGGAGAGGGGGAGAGAGAGGGAAAGTGAAAGCTACAGCGGAAGTGGGAGAAAGAGAGAGAGAGATCTCCTGTTCTGGCAATCTTGTATTTGTCCTATCTTAGGCCCCGTTCCCTTGATTTTCTGGAACCCAAATTGGGGAGCCGACAGAGAGAAAACAGGGAGCGGTAGAAATGGCGGAGACTGAAACTGTGAGGAGAGAGTGAGTGAATGAGAGTGTGGACTCTGCTACAGAAAGGATGGATGGGGCAAGGCAACTTTTGAGAATGGGCCGTGGGTGGGTGGGGAAAAGAAGGCCTGGTTGAAGAAGAAGAAGAGTTTCTATTCAGAGAATCACATGGAAATGGCGAGATTAGCGTCACGTTACCTACATGTGATGATGATGAGGGAGAATTGAGAAGAGCAGAGGCCTTCCTTCCTTTTTGCCTTTAGGAGAACTTTTTGATGATTTCGTAGCACAGAGTTCCAAACATTTGCCAGGAAAATGAGGAAAGGTAAGATCTTCGGGAGGGTAATTAAACTCACAATGGTTGGTATTTTGTCGTTCTTAGGGCTCGTTTGCGTCGTGGATTTGAAAAATGAAGGTTTTGATATAACTTGGGTTTTGAAAAACCATGGATAAATGAGGGTTTTAGGTTCATTATGGATTTGATAAACACCATTGTTTGTTTGATGGATTTCATGATGGATTTTGTTTATTAAATTTGTATGTATGAAGTGTAATTTACCTTTATTGCCCTTAATGATATAAGAAGAGAAAACAAATATGAAGGGTATGTTGGTAAAAAATGATGGACTTCAAAGTCCATGATCAATTCCCACCTAAATAGGTGGAACTTTCAAATCCGTGGGGTCCACGGATTTGGTCTCTTAAAGTTCGTGGGACCCACGGATTTGTTTCCCCTAAATGCATGAAGCAAACAATGGATTTTGGACAAAGTCCATGATGGATCCAAATCCTTCACCAAATCCATCACCAAATCCACCAAGCAAACAAGCCCTTAATTTTGTCAATGTAGAGAATTCTCGTATTGATATGATATGGTGTAAATATGGGTAAAATTGATAAGACAATTGATGGAAATTGGTCGGAGTTATCCGCCCCACAAACAATATCTCTATATATACAAAAATACTAATGATTAGATGCTATAAATTGGGATCATTCTTGTATTCGCAACTTATTTTTACTAGTGATGATGTCGTTTGCGCATTTTCATATGGAATGATGTAGTTTCGAAGGCAGAGACAAACTCCAAGTCCACTTCTAGTGATTCATATCGAAATGAGAAACAAAATTCCCCTTGTCGAGCTTTCCCACAATCGAACTACGAAAAGCATGATAAGTCAATCTGACTGTAAACTTTCATGAACCACCGAACTTCCAGACCAAGTAATTCATTTATTTTTCAGGTATAAATCACTCTCGTTAGATGACACTAGCTTTACTAGGGATCACTTTAATTGTCATAACTTTGAGTTCTCGCTCCCCCTCACATCCTGATTTATCCATTACAACACCTCAATAGAGAATTGAAGTGGATATTGTAGGATTGGATGCTTTGGATATGAATTAAGACCAATGATATCATTGTGGAATTCATGGAATATTAGTTCTATTTGATGTTAAAATTTGTATGGTTGGTAAGTTTTATTATATATATTATTATGGGTATTGGATATACAGGAAGGATATTATTGCATGTATTTTAAAAACCGTAGGTATGGAGATGGGGTTGCAAGATCTATCATCGCATGGGTATGGGATGGGCATAATTTTTTTGGTATGAAAATGGGGCTTAGGATAGTTTGGGAGAACCCGTCCCATTGTCATCCCTAGATACAAGACAATGTGTAACATTACTATTTACTACTCGTGTTGTGGGAGTTGTGTGAGAGAGCAGATGGCAACTTCGACGTGACCTGTTTTACTTCACCTGTTTTCAGACGTATCTACCACGTAGGCAGGACGTGGTGGACATAGTTACTCCCCTCGAACAACCCTGACCTACCTCGTTCTCGATCCGTGTTTGCCTAAACTACTTCCAATTTTACCTCATGTGTTAACAATAATGAATGTTAAAATAGGTGAGAACTTAAATGTCTTAAACCATGTACCTACATTTTATAATGTTATAGTTTGTTTCTTGTTTTTTAATGAAAAAAATGAATATTAATAATGTTTCTCTTTAAATAACAATACCCATGTGGGTCGACCTAACCCGATATGCACCTATGATAATTTGCCGACCTAAAGTCAACCTACCACATGGCAAGTATAGGTATCTAAACATCTGTCACACCTACCTCATTGTCATTCCTATGTAACATAGAGGCTTTCTAAACGAGGGAGAAATGAAGATTGGAATTTTTATTATCATAAAGATACTTTCACAAGTTATTGGAATATAATTTGAAATAAGTTCGATTATTGAGATCCAATTAAGCGGAAGCAAAGGAATGTCCTTGTGAACGAGCAATTCAATCGATCTTAGTGTTATGATGGAGAGAAATTGGTTTTGCTTTGATGGGTAGATTAACATATCATAGAATCTGAGAAATAGATGTAAGTACCACTGGGAATCTTCATACCCAAGAAGCGGAACCAGAAGAGATGGTTTTGATGAGCACGTTAAAGTCAGAAACGAACCACACATTGGACATCGCATTCTAGAGGAAATTTAAGACCTTTCATAAGCGCTGCAGTTTTTTCTTCAATTTGTGAAGAACAAAGTATTGGGCTAGCTCGTCCATCACAAATATGTTCGTGGTTAGTAGTGACTCGTAAGAGTAATACCATACGCCGCCTCTGGCCCGAGGAACGTGTAGAAATCACTCATCATAAGTTAATCTCCAAGTTGAGATTGCCTATCTTTAGTGGTGACAAGTTTTGATCAGACCCGCTCGACTTTATTTGTTTCCTACATAATAGCGTGTGACTAAAGAAGAGTGTTGATTTCGTCGTGCCTCGTTCCCAACCTAATATATATCGATTTGCCTCTCATATCTACCTATGTTTTTCCCCCCTATTTGGACTAAGCTTCGACTAGGTACAAGAATCCACATTTCAATTAATTATACTCAATCGCTACAACATTAACTTTTTATTTTTTTCGTAAAAATGAATAATTTATGTATATATTTTATATAAATGACATGTTATAATGGGTTGACTCGTCTCGTCCCATGCTCAAACGGATATTACTAACCCCAACTCCTGCTAAACACATATGCGTGTAGGTACTAAGATACTTGCTCTATTCCACCCCATAGTCATCACTATTTGGCGGTGGACTGAGAAGAAGATGAGACTTTTTGGATTGACTTTTTGATTGAGATAAGTTGGTGAAGAAGAGCTCATTCTTAGTATGCCAAATGTTCAAGCAAATGAAGATAATTTGAAAAATCCTCGAGTCGAGAGGACGTGAAAATATCCTTTAAGCTGCATAATTAATCAAAGAAAGAAGTGGAAGACAAAAAGGGAATGAGTCGGGGATCCTACTTGAGGCAATGAGTCGAGGATTCTACTTGAGGCATTGTCACAAATGAAGACGTAGAAAAGATTACTCGTATGGGCATTCACAAGATGGGGAAGTGGAGATAGCGGATCATTCTTGTATTCATTTGTGACAATGCCTCAAGTAGGATCCCCGACTCATTCCCTTTCTGTCTTCCACTTCTTTCTTTGATTAATTATGCAACTTATTTTTATTAGTGATGATGTCGTTTGCGCATCTTCATATGGAATGATGTAGTTTCGAAGGCAGAGACAAACTCCAAGTCCACTTCTAGTGATTCATATCGAAATGAGAAACAAAATTCCCCTTGTCGAGCTTTCCCACAATCGAACTACGAAAAGCATGATAAGTCAATCTAACGGTAAACTTTCATGAACCACCGAACTTCCAGACCAAGTAATTCTTTTATTTTTCAGGTCCAAATCACTCTCGTTAGATGACATTAGCTTTACTAGGGATCACTTTAATTGTCATAACTTTGAGTTCTCGCTCCCCCTCACATCCTGATTTGTCCATTACAACACCTCAATAGAGAATTGAAGGTGCATATGAAGTCTAAATTTAGAGACGAGTTCAAAAATTTCTATACACACATATATTCTTCTCATTTGACAGTAGTACCCAAATATATAACCTTTTTATCTTCTCATAGACTCGCTCAAATCCATCTACAAACTATCTTAACGGGGCGTTTGCTTCGTGGATTTGAAAAATGAGGGTTTTGGTAAAACCTGGGTTTTGGAAAACCATGGATATATGATGGATTTGAACAAGTCTATTGTTTGCTTGTTGGATTTGATTATGGATTTTGTTTGAATAGATTTGTGGATATGAAATACAAATTACCTTGTTACCCTTATCTAATTATATTTCTATATTTTTTTTTAGATAAAGGTGATATAGGTTACTTTTTTGTCATTAGGTACTACTGAAGGGACTCGAACCTAGGACCTCCAGGTTCATGGCTAGTGGTATTACCACTAGACCAATCCCTTGTTCATGGCTAATTATATTTCTATATTATAATCCAAAAATTTCATTAAAAAATCCAACGCATACAATGAAATTTTAAACGCTTTACCACTATGTGGACTAATAATTCAACTACAGATATAGAAATGTATTACAATTTGGCACTAATTAACAACTCATCTAATAATGTATGCGATATTATGTATCAATTGCAACCAATTGCTCGCTTTATTGCTACAACTCATCATCTTCTTGCTAAATCCCCGATTTTGGAATCCGACAATCAATCAAATAATAATGCACAAGATGTGCATAAAGTGTTTATAGTTGAATCTAACAAATCACATATACATTCATATTTAAATAAACTACGATATTACAAAACGAAATGATAAATTCTCGTATTTATAAAATACGACATTATAAAAGTTTATAGTTGCATGACCATTGAATTAAAACAGGACAACTTTGTAATTAAAGTAATAAGTAAGGGTAGAAAAGTAATTTACCATCATGGATTTTAATCCATCACCCAAATCTCACCTCAAGAGGTGGAACTTCCACGTTAGTGGGGTCTACGGTAGGGGTGGGCATTCGGTCGGTTCGGTTTCGATCGAACCAAAATTATGAATATCGGGTCCCCGAATTCTCCCAAACCTCAAACCGAATTCGAACCAAATTATAATTTGGTTTGGTCGGTTTAAACCGAAATATAATTCGGTTCAGTTTGATTTTTCACACAAAACCGAATTTGTGAAGCTACTTGTATTTTCTCACTTTTAAATTATTTTTCACCCCTAATATAAATAATAAATATCAATTATATGCATCATCAATGATAAAACCAAACTTTTCAACACATAAGTCATAAAACATTTCAAATATTTAAGTCTAAAAACAACTACAAACATAAAAATTCACCATTTGGAGCTTGCAATTATAGTATTTCGGTTTTTCGGTCAGAAATTCGGTTCAGTTGAAAGAACCCTGATTTCCGAACTATCCATATTTTCCTTCCGAATTCCGAACCGAATAGCATTAATTCGGTTTTGGTTCGATTTAATTCGGTTTCGATTCGAGTTTACCCAACCGTTTGCCCACGTCTAGTCTACGGATTTGGAACCCTAAAAGAGGTGATACCCACATATTCCATCTCCCTAATTCCCTACGGCAAACGATGGATTTACGTTAGAATTCATAATGGATAAATTTTCATGACCAAATTCATCATCAAAACCCTCAAACAAACTACCCGTAAAAGTATTAAAGTTTTCACTTTTATGTCAGTAAAATAATTCTATACAAAAAAATTCCTAAAATAATAATAATAATCCATAAATAATTAGTCAAAGTAATCCCCTCCAAATTAAAAGCAACGGCAACTAGGGATGGCAATGGGTAGGGTCGGGTGCGGGTTTACCCTATACCAACTCCTAAACCGCCGGGTAGAGCCTTCTAAAATACCCGACCAAATAACCACCGGGTATGAAAATTATATAACCATACCCTACCCACCGGGTAACCACGGGTATTCGTGTAACCATGGGTACGAATCCTAAACTATGAACTTATACACATATATGCACATACATACTATTGTCCATTAAAAATTCTCAATACTTCTAATTGTTCTAGCTTCAACAATCCACACAAATAAAAACAACAAAAACATAATAATTGTTCATGCTTCTACAATCCACACAAACATAATAATCGTCTACATCATCATCAATAATGATAGCTAAACTAAATTTCTCAAGCTAAACTAAATTTATCAAGGGAAATTGACCTTTTAGTTAGCAGGGCGGGTATAACGGGGCGGGTATTATCGATTACCATAGCCGTACCCTACCCTTTATTTTGAAACCGGGTATTACCCGTACCCGACCCTTAACCCGTCAAAGCGGGTAATTACCCTCGTTGACCGGTTACGGTTGGGTGACATCCCTAACGGCAACATAGTAATATGCTAAACAAATGTCACATTAGAGAAACAAGAACAGCAACACACCAAAAAAAAAAAAAAAAACTCTCCTCCTTCTTTCACACAAACATCGATCGATCCCTCCAATTTTTTGTTTTTTTTTTTGTGCGTCTCTGGTTTTCTCTGATTAACAGCGCATTCCTCCTCCCCAAAATTGAAACCTAAATCCGGCCACCGCCATGCCATCCCTCAAAACCAGCATGGCCGCTGCTTCCTTCTCCTCCAAACCCTACAAATGGCCTCGCTCCTCTTTCCCTCCTTCCCCTTCTCCCAATTCCTCCACCGCCGCCGCCGTCCCTCTTCCGTCCCCTTCCTCCGCCGCCGCCGCACCGCCGTCGCTCTGTTCAGCCCCGATCAGTTGCGGCAGAGCGTGGCGCAGGATACCACCCTGCGCACACCTCGCTCCTTTTAATGATTCCCGGTACCCAAATTTTAGCTGTAGCAGTAATAATAAAAAAGATATTTATTTTAATATAACCACCACCAGCAGCAGCAGCGGCAGTTTGTTGTTATTAGGGCTACCTGGAGGCAGCGGGCGCTCTCCTTTCTCATCCTCATCTTCTTCCCTCCGAAATTGTGGCTTGACGCCGTTTGCGAGCAAGGCCGGATCCTCCGCTGGATCCGATTCTTCCTCCTCGCCGTCGTCGCCTTCCGGGTCCGGTGGTGTGATCGCGGAAGATATGGGATCCGATAACAAGGCCGCCGCGGACGGCGTCGAGTGGTACCCCGCTGGCGACGGCGTGAACGGATTGGACCCTCGGCCTTCTTCTTCTTCTTCGCCGTCGCCCGATCGTCGGAAGCAAGAGGAATGCTCGTCGAAATTTCTCACGTTGCCGACGATTTTGACCCTCGGCCGCGTTGCCTCTGTGCCGCTTCTCATCGGCAGTAAGTTCCCGTTTTCTTGGGCTGGGTGGAGATTGAGAGTGCTGTTTCTGGGTGGGTTTGAATTGATTTGCGTTTGGGCTTGGTGATTGGGAATTGTGTCTCAATGCGATGGTCGGTGGCATTGGTGTCTTCTTTTCACCGGCGGATCTTTTGTATGATATCAAATGGACAATGTGGATGGTTTAGAGCTGCGTCCGGTGCTTTTAGATGTTGGGTTTCCGCTCCTGCGCATTTTCTGGTCATGTTTCTTCTGAATTTGCCTGCAGTTGTGTTTAGTGTTACGGCTGATCCTCCTCGCCTTTCTTTGTTGGGCTCATATGTTAAATTTTGTTTTGTGATGGGTTTGATTTTTGGTTTCAAGTTGATCGTTGAAAGTGAAGCTTGTTACCTTCCCTTGCTTTCTGGGAAAGGTTTCAACATTGCTGGCGTCCCAAAGCCTGAAGCTTCATTGAATGGCATTCGCAATTCAGGGAACTAACTCTCAGTTTTTTGTTCTCCAGCCTTTTACGTTGACACTTGGTTGGGAAGAACGGCGACAACTAGTATCTTTCTTGCAGCGGCAGTCACTGATTGGCTTGATGGGTACCTTGCACGAAAGGTAACATTTGGGTTGATGGTGAAATGATGGACTCCTAATTGAGTTTTCCAGAGGTTTTATATTGAAGGGTAGTTAATTGCTCTTTAATATCTTTCAGATGAGGTTAGGGTCTGCCTTCGGTGCATTTTTGGATCCTGTAGCTGACAAGGTTGGCAGTTTTTCCGTGTAACCTCTGGATATATTTCTGACTTGGCTGAATAGGGTGGATTTGCTTCGTTAAGAGGTGTTCTTATTTGAATCTGTGTGTTCATTACCACAGCTTATGGTTGCTGCTACCTTGGTCCTCTTGTGTACAAGACCTTTGGAAGTTCCAATGTTTGGACCAGTGCCCTGGCTACTCACTGTGCCTGCTATTGCTATTATTGGTCGCGAGGTAAACAACTTATGCCATTTACCTACAAACATGGATCCACAGCCTTTCTTTCTTCTCCCTCAATATGGTTCTTTGTTTTGGCTATTGAGGATGTATATGCTTGACTGTTACTTTGGTTGATGCTTGATGAACATTGTTTGATTTACCCCCTTATTTTCTGTCCATCTATATTCTGTAAATTCTCAAGGGATTTGGGCTTGTTAATGATCTTGCCCTTCTGTTTACAACAATATTTGTAGATAACAATGTCAGCAGTCAGAGAATGGGCTGCTTCGCAAGATACGAAGCTTCTAGAGGTTTGTTTGTCTCTTCTGTTGTTTTCTGGTTGTATGTATGCTTTTGCTGTTCCCTCCCTCTACCATTTGCCATAATGCTTTGCGTGCTTGTTAAATCTTAAAACATGTTTGCTTCAGGCTGTTGCTGTAAATAACTTGGGGAAATGGAAAACTGCTACACAGATGACTGCGTTAACCATACTCCTTGCTACCCGAGATGGAGGGTTGGTCATTCTGTGCTTGTGCCTCATAAGGGTTTCTTCAATTCGTGGTCATTCTCAGTACATCTGATAATAGTTGCTGTTTATGAGTGGCTCTGATTTTGCAGGGTTGGAGGCCTTGGGGCATTTGTAGCTTCTGGTGTTGGGTTGCTTTATATTTCAGCAGGTCTCTCAGTATATTCTTTAGCTGTGTACATGAGTAAGATATGGAAAGTACTGCTCAAGTAGCTAGCTTGACTTTGCTCCGACCTGCATGGCTTTGGACATAATCCTCGTCGTGACTATCGATTCTTGCTAGTAACTGTGGATTAAGAGTAAAGCTGTTGTACAGGAGAGAAGTCTCGGCTCATCTCGAACCCTTTTAAAGGTGAAGCCGTCTCTCCCTGGACGTGGTTGTCGAGCTTTTGCTGGTGTTTGGGAAGCAACAGATCATAACACTATGAGATTCCAATGTATATGCTACATATATATATTTGGACAATAGCCTTTCTCTGCTTTAGATATTAGCCGGATTTTGGTCGGCAGTGGATTAAGGTTGAAGCTTCGCTTCCACAATGCTGGTCTACGAGTTTGGACCTCGGCAGGAACCTATGTGCACCGATAAGATGAGCTGTGATGAAACCACCAATCTTCTGTTTTTCTTAAGTAGGCAATAAAACACAGAGACTTGTTTGGGTGAAGCTTGAGTTGTTATACAGCATTAATGCAATAGCAGTGGCATAAGATTTCATTTGTAATTGTTGCATTTTGTGGCAATAGAACATACACGACATATAAACATCGGATCGATATTTTTTTATCCGTTGTATTTGCTTATGTTGATGTCTGCCTGTTGGTAGCATTACCATTGCCAACTGAAATTAACAGTCTAGCTACTGTTGTCATTTCCTCAATTAGACTTGGATCTTTCCCTGCAAAATGAGGCAAGAGAGAGGATCAAGATCAACTAAGTAGAGTTACAAAATATACAAACTATTGCTCACATGAGTTGGGCAAAATAGTATTACTGCAAAGCGTTTATTGTAGTTCTCGACGTGCTCCTTTGGATCGCGCCGAGTTTGGTTGTAGCCCTCAATTTTGCTCATCTCCTGTACACAAAAGCATAAACATGTGGATGACTGCCGATTCCCTCGCGAAAATTAGGGGGAAAGTGTTGGCATTCTTGTCATTCAAATTCAAAGCTGAAAGAGCCCTTCTCCTGACAGAAGAGCAACAGAGCTGCATACCATACCTGTATCCAAGTAGCAAGTTTAGGCCTTTTGGCAGTGACGTCATAGTTTCTCATGTCTAGCAAAACTGGCTGATATCTTTCCATGAATGGTGCATAAGCTATATCTGCCTGCACCCAACAATGAAGAAATTTCAACTCTTGCTGAACACAGAATCCCAATCAAGTTTCAACCTTGTTTTTATATCCCAATTTACCAGACTGAACTGGCCAAGGAAGAAGGGTCCATCATCAAACTTGGAAAGAGCTGCTTCTATGTCATCAAAAGCGGCTTCTGTGACTGTCAAGAGAAAGAGAGATGCCCTCATTGTGAAGTACACCTGATACAAATGGCAAACATGCGAAAGAAAGCAGCAAATAGCGAAACGAGGAAGCACACAAGCAACAGCATCAAACTTAACATTCAGTCACCTGCTTCATCACCTTCTCCTTTGAGCGTGGAGCTCACAGACTTATGAAATGACCCGGCATTGGAGAACAGCTCTTCTGCAAATTCCCTTCTCGCAGGATCCTGAATTTCATGCAATGCATTAGTCATGTTAGTTGATCAAATGGAAGGAGAATGTAGGAGCCAATCTCATACTTGAGGGAGCAGTTGAGGTCCATGAAATTGAGCGTCGATGTATTTCATCAAATCGAGCGACTCTCCTATCACTTCATTGTTGTGCTCCAGTGCAGGAACCTGCATTTTTTTGCCACACCAAAAAGGCAGACAAGCATGAAAATGTGCAGAAAGATAGAATCAAGCACCAATGTGGTTTGATTTATGACACCACCTTGTTAGGAGGGTAGACTTTCTCCTTGTACCAAGAAGGCCTGTCTTTGAGATCAAGAGGAACTAACTTGATCTCTTCGTGCAACCCCTGCTCTCAGAGAATCACCAAATGGGCAATGGATCGAAGTTTTAAAATCCAAAGAAAGAAAACATGGAAAGAGAGACAATCACAAACCTTACAGTTTCGAGTAATCCACACACGCTGCGCATATGGGCATGTATACGACAAATACAACCTACTTGTGCCGTCAAAGATTGCAGGAAGGTCCGAAGCAGATGTAAGAGGCGGTGGCAGAATCTCTCCAACACTGAGACTTAGCAAAAAGCAAAAGAGTCAAATTTGCAGATACAAATTCCCCAATTGCCAATTGGGAGTTTAAGTAAAGCTCTCCAGACGAATACCCAAATTGGGGGATCCTTTATTTTCATGTGGGTCGATGAGAAACGGGGTTGGGGAACAATTTACTTACCCGGCAGCCATTGTTGCTGATGTGATGTGTGAGACTCTGGCTCGTCGGAATTTGTTGCCCAAGTCGTTGGTTAAGGCAAGTGCTGGAAGAAGCGACCGCCGGCGGCGAGATGGAATGATGGTAGTCGGAACCAGTACTGAAGGTTTCTGGTGCGAGGAGGGTTTGAGATTGAGAGACAAGGCAGTATTGGAAGCAGAGACAGAGGAACCGTTCAGGGGAAATGTCGCCATTTTCGGGCTTGCTTCGTGCTTTCGTCGATTCAGAACAAAACATACGTAGATAAACCAAGATGACTTGAGCAATGGCTAATCGTTTGCGTTAAACCGTGCTTTTGGATATTGGCCACGTGCCTGCATTAAACTCTTTTTCTTAGTGAAGTCATACAAAAAAATATATTAAATAAAATAGGGAAATAGTGTAGTTAGTGATGTTACTTGTGAGGATAGTTTTCAGTTTTCACCAAAAAAAAAAAAAAAGTGAGGATAGTAAGTCGTTAACTCTAACTAGATTGTACCCGGCCCGTTGGCCGGTTATAATATAATATATAACTAGCGTGGGCCCCGGCCAGTTGACCGAAGAAAGGTGAGGTATGAAATTTGATAATGTAATTGTAATTGGGTGTATAGCTTATTGTTGTATAGTTTTTTTTGGAAAGCACGTGATAAAAATAATAAATTTTAGCAGGAAAGAGACATGAATGATGCAACGAATCAAAAATCGACCTTACGAACCAAAATCAAGTACATGTTATCTTGTGAAACAATATTGTTTCTGGTAATATGATGAGGTGGAATAAGTTTTATAGAAACCGGATTCCAAAAAAAAAACAACAACAAAAAATCGCATATCTCTTCGGTTTTCGGGAAATTAGCATCTCACAATCGTTGCTAGCTTTTACTCGACCCGTTGGCCGATTAATTTGCTTTATAAAACTTCATATTGTCGTCATTGTGCTTTCTGGTTTTTGTCAGGCCATGATAAAATCTAAGAAAATCAAGAACGAACAACACGATTTGGGATAGGAACCGCCGTTGTCGTATCCCTAGAAAATGGTGGTAAACACGGACTCACCTGCCAAACTGGTTTGGATTGAGATTTTTATCGAGTATCAGGGAACCATGTGATTATAAGTTAGACTTGATCAAAACAGGTCAAAACTTGAAATTAAGCATGTTTGACCGACCCATGCCAAATTCTAATGATTCTTTACTTTTAAACTTTCTTTGAAAATAAAAAATAGTGAAAGAAAAGAGATGACTGCAATTCGCTATTTGCACATCACTTATTCGGGAATAAAACCATAGAAATTCAAAAGGAACTGAAAATGTTTAAGATCGTTTAATGTTTAAAATAACCAAATAGATCTTTCTGTTTAGTTTTTTACTAACAAATACCAAACGATTCCCTGTAAAATACACTATAATTTGATCATTATGATATCAAATAATTATATAATATATATTTGAAATGATAAAAATTGGAATAATTGGGTTGGTCGATGTTGAACCATTGAATAACTTTAAAATACATTATATTTTAGCCACTAAGATATAAAATAATAGCATAATATATATTATGTCATAGAAAATAGTTTGTTTTAGAATGACAAACCAATGATCTTCATTTGTTTTACTTGATGGCCAAATCCCGTGTAGGTCAGGCCTATTCAACTCTTTTATTTTATGGTTAGTGGTTAGCCCATTAGATACCATGCATTTGTTTATTGTTAAATTTTATATTTTTAGCAATAAAAAGAAGTATTGTTTTTGCCTTTTCATATATATTTTATCACCACAGAGAAATAAAAGGGATGAAAAAAAAAATTGACACTCCTGGACCCATTTAAATCGGCATGTGTACGGTAAGTTGGCCAGTTCCACATAGGAAAGAGAAAAAATTGACACTCCCTATTCTACCCTTCCTACAAACGCTTTTAGAATGGCAAACCAATGATGTTCATTTGTTTTACTTGATGGCCAAATCCCGTGTAGGTCAGGCCCATTCAACTCTTTTATTTTATGGTTAGCGGTTAGCCCATTAGATGCCATGCATTAGTTTATTGTTAAATTTTTTATTTTTAGCATAAAAATGAGTATTGTTTTTGTCTTTTCATATATATTTTATCACCACGGAGAAATAAAAGAGATTAAAGAAAAAAATTGACACTCCTGGACCCGTTTAAATCCGAATGTGTACGGTAAGTTGGCCCGTTCAACAGAGAAAAGAGAAAAAAAATTGACACTCCCTATTCTACCCTTCCTACAAACGCTCCTGGAGCAGTGAATTTGAAATGGGGGAAGAGTTTTTTCCTCCCTGCTATTATATATTTTTAATTTAAAAAGATACAACAAATGTACTTAGTGTGATTGGTTATGATTGTTGTTTTTCTTTAAAATGGTCATGGTTCGAATCTCAGTACGTGTCTTTTTAATGAATAAAAAAAAGTAATTGTGAAGACCAAAATATCCTTCCTACATTCACTCTCGTTGCAGGAAATTTGAAATGGGGCTCCCGTTTCTCTCTTCGATGTATTATAATATGTGTAGAGATAATAATATTAAAAAATGTTCCAAGTTTAAATTTCAGTAATATGTTCATTCTCATTAATTCATGTGATGATTATATGCCAATGTTATGTGAATTAACAAATAGTGTTATGTGAATAACTTTTTATCCGTAAATGTGGCCAATCGCGATTAAATGATAAATAACATCTTAAGTACTAAACTAAGAAATATTTACTACTTTGATGTAGAGATAGAGAGGAATGAAATGGTCAATGAACATAGAATTAATAGCCTTAATGAGAATTTTATTGAATTGAGTAACGTTTCTACTTCATAGAATTATTTTCACAACACACCTCTTGTACCCGAATTGAATCCTAGACTTAATAAAACCATGAAATTTTATAATAAAAACATTATACTTGAAAGCTGGAATTCACAGTAAAGTTTCTACTTCATAAAGTTATCTTCACAACACATCTCTTGTACCTGAATTAGAAGTTAGAACTTTAATAAAACCATCATATTCTAAAACAAAAATTATACTTGTAAGATGGCATTCCCGCGTGGTTGGACATCGATAGATGATCTGAACTTCATAAACATTTTTTTGAAGATGACTCCCGTTACGTACTATGATAGAGTTGTCTCTTTATTTAATGTTTGGTTGATCGTTCACGTATTAAACACGTATAAAACATTTCATGTACGTGTATTTTAGGTAATTAAACTGATAATTTATTTATTTTATATTTAGTTGTACTTATAAATTCCTAAAGTTAGTGGGTTGCAGAAAAGAAATATAATCCGTCAAGGTTTTTTCACGATAACAGGGTTGGGCTTTTTTTCATATGGTCAATTTCCAGTCTTGTGTTGGCTAGCATATGTCCCTCTCATCCATTCTCAAGCATACTGCCGTCACCATAATCCCTTCTCCCTGTCTGGCTGCCTCTAACTTAATCCGATCCAAATGCATGTTTCATACACAGAAGAATGAATAAATCATTGTCGTCGGATAAACGAATTATCCAAAACAGGGATGAAAAGCCAATTCCTTGTAAGTTTGCTTTTCAATTTCTTTTCCCCCCGGACTTCGTTCTCTAAATTCCCAATTTGCCTCTGATTTGCTGCTTTCCACATCTCTGTATCTTTTTGCATCTCTAATCCGTCACTGATTCTTTCAATCTCTTCTAGTTTCAAATCCATCGATGTGTTCTATTCCTTTTCCTCTAATAGACTCTACCCCGTTAAGGTGATTTCTTTCGCTGCATGTATCGCTTTCTGTCTCTAATCGGTCAGTGCATGCTACTCTGCATCTCTTCTAGTTGCCTCAAAAGGAGAAAAAGAGCTCAACCTTGAAGTTGTGATTCAATTTATGATTGCAGGTTGAACTGAGATCTAAATTAAAGGCGGGGAGAAGAGGGTTCTCGGCGGGCACTTGAGGAGCTGCAAAGATCGAAAAACGGAAATCAAAGGCAGGGAGAAGCGGGTTATCGGCGGGCAATTGAAGAGCATAGGAAACGACATGCAGGGGTGAGTTGAGATCTAAATGAAAGGCGGGGAGAAGAGGGTTATCGGACATGATGAGGTGGTCGTTGTCGCGGTCGAGGTTGTCGATCGCCCATCTCAGTGCCTTGATGCTGCACAGATAGAAATCCACCGCCATGTCGATCCTTCTACCGTTGTCTCCCATCGCTTTTCCTTTTTCTAATTCTTTCTTCCTTCCTTCCTTCATTTCTCGAGCTCGATTCGTATTCCTCTCTGTTAACTTCGTATAACTTTTATGTGCTCTTTTATTCTCGAAAACAACTTTATTCTCGATTCGTATAACTTATATAAAAGGTCCATAAAAGCAATCCAAAAGAATTCTACAGCTTTATTGTCCCCGATCCAGCCCATTCAGTCAATAAATGCAGAGAAATTTACCAAACTCTCCCTCCGTGGACTGCGCAGAGAGCAGGAAAAGGGAGATTGTGGGGGTTCCGGCCAGGAACCTCCATATAATAGTGTTAGGATACTCATTTTTTTAAAACAAAAGATATATATTGATCATAATCAGAAGATAGTTACATCCTGGAGTTCAGCCAGGCCTGAAAATAAAAAAAAACGACACGCAGTCGGGTACAACGAAAGGGTCTTTCTAGCCACCAAATGGGCTACCCTATTACTACGCCGACCTACAAATCGAATACTCAATCCAGAATGAAGGGCAAACAATTGCACCACCTCAAGAAGAACAACCCCTATCATGCTATCCTCAGCCTCCGCTTGCCGAATCTTATCTATAATCACCTTCGCATCCCCCTCAAAGCGAACCTCATCAAGCCCTTGAGTCAGACACCACTGCACTGCCTCCCGAAGCGCAAGAACCTCAACAACTAAAGGATCATCAATAATCGGGAACTGGACCCCCTTAGCCACAAGGACCCCACCCTCTAAACTCAGCACAACCATGCCACCCACAGAATGGGAGCCCGCTCTCGTCGCCCCATCCCACCTACAAACAACCCCAGAATCCACCTGGGGGACCAGTAGGTGTTGCGGGCAGCCACGACCATACATGGAGAAGGATCTACTGGCAGTCGCGTCCATTCCTCATATTGTTGATGAAACTGGCGCATTAGATGCAAGAAACCAAACTGCTTCCCCTCAAAGACTACCCAATTACGGGACTTCCAAATCCATCAGAGGATGGCAATCACGGCCATGAACAGAGAAGGTTGGTGAATAAGGGATATTAACCGCTTTAGAACAAGGGGGAAAGTATGCCTTGGTAGCCCCTCACCCAGATACTCCAACCCGGAATAATCCCACATGGCTCG